CGGCGTAATTTGGTGAGCGCATCGTCGCATGCCGGTGACCAGGTGGAAAGGTCCTTGTCGCCACTAAGTAGGTCTATAAGGGGCGCACATACGGAAGCAAAATTTCTAATAAAGCGTCGGAAGTATGATGACAAGCCGACGAAACTTCTAAGTTCCTTTAGGTTCTTTGGCTTCGGAAAATCGGCGACTGCTCAAAGCTTGGCGTGGTCGGGAAGTATGCCGTACCGCGATACGACGTGGTCGAGAATGGTGAGCTGCCGAGCACCAAAACGACACTTCTTGAGGTTGAGTTGAAGGCCGGCGTCGGTGAGGCAGGTGAGGACGTGCTCGAGACGATTCAAATGAGTGTCGAAATTGATGAAAAAGACAACTACGTCAACGAGATAGCATAAACATGTGTTCCATTTGAGGCCTCGTAAAATAGTGTCCATCATTCTTTCAAGAGTGGCTGGAGTGTTACAAAGGCCGAAAGGCATAACGGTAAATTCGTATAATCCATCAGGTGTGACAAATGCTGTTTTCGGTCGGCCAGATGCTTCCATAAGTACTTGCTAGTATCCAGATCGTAAATCCAGCGAAGAGAAGTATTCTGCTCCCTGCAAACAGTCAAGGGCGTCGTCTATTCACGGTAACGGGTAAACGTCCTTACAGGCGATCTTGTTTAAACGTCGATAGTCCACACAGAACCGAATGGAGCCGTCCTTCTTCTTAACAAGAACGACCGGTGACGCCCAGGGACTGTTAGAAGGCTGTACAATACCCCGCTGGAGCATGTCAGCAACCTGGTCGGCAATAACACGGTGCTCCAACGCTGAGACTGGGTAGGGGCGCTGCCGTAGAGGCGTATGGCTCCCTGTGTCAATCTTGTGAGATATGTTTGATGTGCGACTAAGGCCAGAAGCGTGGCTGTCAAAAGAAGTACGAAACTTTTGCAGCAAATTCACCAACTGGCTTCGTTCTGAAGAAGACGTTGCGACATCGATGAAGCGGTGGAAAAGTGTCAAGGAGTGACTGGTCAACAACAGAGTCAGAAATGAGTGCGCTAAGGTCCGTAGAAAGTAAACTAAATGGAGCGTCGAAAATGTGACGGGCGTCGATCGGATGCACGTGACCGAGACATTCACCATAGAATAAAAGTAAAGGCTCTTCTAGCGTATTGTACACGAGCGTCTTCGTGACGCCATGGTGGAGAGTAAGGAGAGCAACGAGCAGTGGAGAACATTTGCGTTGATAGAACAGGGCAGAGAGCGTAAATAGAACATCACCGTCGGAAATAGCATCACACGACACAGTCACCAGCAAAGAAGAGCGCGGTGGTACGGTGGTGTCTTCGGAAACAGACAGTTTATAATACGGCAGGGAGGCTTCGACAGCGTCAACATCAGGAAGTGCAGATAGCTCAAGTTCAGCGCGACAGCAGTCAATGACGGCATTATTATTCGCAAGGAAGTCCCAGCCGAGTATCGTGTCAAGGCAACACGAGGGCAGCACAACGAATTCGACGATATACACAATCCCTTCGATGACGACTCGTGTGGTACAGGCTGCGAGAGGTGTTACACTTTGTGTGTTAGCCGTTCTAAGAGAGAGGCCGGATAATGGCGTCAGAACTTTGCGGAGTTTGCGGCACAGGTTGATGGAAAGGACGGATAGAGCGGCACCGGTGTAGACAAGCACCATGATGACAATACCATCAACTGACACTTCAATGACGTTAGCCAGACAAGGGCGAGGATTTGTGCATGGCGGCAGGGACGCAGTTCGTGCCTCGGGAACTGCGGCCGTTAGTTTTCCTGGTCGGTGGGTCCAGAACGGCGACACATAGGGGAAAGTGAACGTCGACGTGGAGATGGGGAGCGGCGGGTGGGACCTTGTGGACAATCAGAAAGAAAGGAAGAGGAAGGAGGGCTTGAAGGCGTAGAAGAAAACTGAGGGTCGAAAGAGGGCATTCATCGAATGTTCTGAGCAGCCTGGCGACGACGACAATAGCGTGCCATGTGGCCAACACCGCCACAAGCAAAACATATCGGACGATTGTCTTGGTTTCACCATTGGTCGGAGTAGACACCGACATGCGGCTGGGGGGAAGTAAACTGCGGCCGAGGTGGTATCCGCATAGGCGGCGGTGAATAGGTCGGCGGCGAATACATAGGCGCAGGATGGAATGCAGGCTGTCGAGGTAGAGCAACGGCCTCGGCGTACGTGAGAGGTGCGGCGACTGGCGGCGGTTCACGGGCGGGAGGAAGAACTTGTGCGACCTGGTCTTGAATGAAGTCGCGGAGTGTAGACGTCAATCTGCATGGTTGATCGGGTACGCAGGACATCAAAGAGAGCTGACGAGCGACCTCAGCGTGGGTGAACTCTTGGATCTTGGAGAGAAGAGGGGCACGATTTTCTCCTATGCCAAGGGTGGACAGGCTGGACAAAGAGTCGTCGAGCACCGAGGGACGTCGGGTGGGAAGACATTGTTTGCGCAACTCGTCAAAACTCTGGCATAGCTCAGTCAGTTCTAGGACAGTGCGAGGACTCTTAGAAAGCAACATTTGGGAAGCGTCGTCCTGAATGCCCTTCATGATGTGCTTGATCTTAAGCTCTTCGAACATCGACTCGTTGACTCGCTTGGAAAGGTCCAGAACGTCCTCAATATAGCTTGTGAAATTATCACCAAGCTGCTGGGACCGAGTATGCAAGCATTGTTCGGCCCGCCGTTTGCGTTCCTCAGGCCGTGCGAAAACTTGTGTGAGGCTCGTTTTGAAGACCGACCATGTAGAGAGTTCCGCTTCGTGGTTTATAAACCACAGCTTGGCCACGTCCGACTGGAAGAAGGAGACGTAGGCCAACTTGGCAGCGTCATCCCATTTGTTGTGAGTACTCACTCGCTCGTACATTGAGATCCAGTCGTCAACGTCCTTGTCTTCTGTGCCTGAGAAAACAGGGGGATCACGCAGACGCAGAGAACCGGCGCAGAGAACAGTAGGCGGTGCCTGTGGAGGAGTTGGAGCGGCGCTTGCATCGGTAGGCATAATGAATGGTAAAATGCGATTTCAAAGGTCCAGGGTGATCGAAACCCAGCAGACTCCACCACTTGTAACGGGGTTTATTTGCAGAGCAGAAGCGCACAAGGCGAAGCAGTCAGCAGCGTCCGGCCAAGCGCAGCAAGCACGAGCTTATGCTGATGGCGATGCCCCTGAGGGGCCGAAAAATGCCGCTGAGGCCCCTCTTCTTCACTACAGTATCTATATATATATGAAAACTCAAGACAGAAAAAAAGAAACCACCCGCTCTTGGCCCCCAGCTCGTCGATGAGATAAGCGCGCGTCTATGCATCGACACGCGTTTACCTAACATAGGTATTTTGCCACATGAATGGGGGGGGAGGGGGAGGTTAGGCACTTGTGCCTGCGGGCTTATCGTTGCTTGGGCCGCAAAGGTCACTTCGCTCGCTGAGCAGGCCCCGTTTTCAAAAAAGTGCACTTTTCAAACACAGCGAAGTAACAAATAGGACACTCGTTAGTTCACACTCAAATCTGCACCTGTGATATTACGTTCCGTGCATGGTTTTTGTTTAAACAGCGCATGAAGTGTCGGGCTACAAACATTGTTAGTTAGCCCTCTTCCTGTGTGTCTTGTTTTCGTGCATCAATTTTTCCTCATTTGTGAGCAGCACGCTGCACGTTTCAATGTGCTAGCAGTTTTCACTGTTACACTCAAAGTTATTTATTTGTTGCCATCAAATTCATTGCTTCGCCCTAGCGGCGAAACCGACTTTTTTCTTTTCTTTCGTGCACGTATGGGACCCAGCAAGGGTGTGAAAACTATTATGTCGAGCCAATGGAGCAGCGGCGAGTTGCCTTAGTTTCCACCAGCGATGCACACTTGCTGTCCCGTGCACAAGGGCGCAACAGCGAACGCCGTGCGCTCAACTGCTGAGCCACACGTACTGCCGTGTAGGCAGTACGTGGTTTAGCTTGATTGAGATGTTTATGGTTGGCAGGTTTGTCACCATGACGTGCCGCTGCATTTGTCAGTCGCCGTCATCACGCTCTCATGCAGGCATCACTGTACACAAGCCGAAGTCGTAGTAATTACTGCATGATCTACTCAGGCTCTTATTGCAAATGCACGAAATAGAAAGTTCTTCACAGTGACATACACGAACGAATGTTCCTGAACATCGAATATTTGTGAAGATCGAATATTCGGGTTCGTTCGAATTTTCAAATATGTCACAATTGAATCGAATAGGAATATTACAAATGCAATATTCAACGAATAATCGAAACTTTTGAATATTCGCACACCCCTAGTTTTTAATGAATGTTTTGAACCTGCTATATGAACTCTAGGCATACGACGCTGCAAAGCCTTGAATCATAGAAGTACACAGTTTTGGTGCAAAATAGCAAAGCGACAGCTGACTTACACTAGATGCACTGCATAATACTCCCGACTATGCTGTGCCAGGTTTGCTGTGTGATCTTGGAAGGCAAGTAGATCTCTCAGGCTAACATGCTGCTTTGCTTAGTGATTTGAGAACTATGCTCAGAAAAGCCACATACAAGTCAAGGCACTGTCACAAGCTTCGATTAGTTTGCCGATTCCTTAGCTGTGTCAGTGAAACTTTGTTTTACTAGAGTACATGCAAGGTGTTTAGCATGATGCAGAGTTTTCGCAGATTGTGCATAAATATGCTAGCAGCAGTCATAGTGGCACCAACTCTGAACCGTATGCTCCCACTCAAAGCACTCATATTGCATTGCACAATGCTATCTGTTAATCGTGGGCTAATGCACTACATTCAGTGTGTCTCGTGGAATATATATTTCTAAAGCTAGACTCTTGCTGGTATTGGTTTGACTTTCAAGCCAACTTAAATTTTACATTTTGCACAGCCAAAGGTAAAAGCAAAAGATGATAAGAAAGGCTATGGTTGTGCCATGGCGTTTGGCTACAATACTTAAACCAATGAATTAGAGCATCCCCTAATTTATGGAACCTACCTGCTGAACGATGAATATCTCGTAGACAAAGCAGATGGCAACCACAGTAATGCCTTGCTCTTTGCTGAGAGTTGCCAACACCACCAAGGCCACACACATCGCCAACGAATGCCATTCTGCATGAAAGTACATACCTCTGAGTTTAGGCTTTGTCCTTCTAAAACGCATGACCCTTAAGCACATGCTCATGTAAGCTTCGCCGATTTGCACAGCACAAAACAAAATAGTTTTGATAGGAAAACTGGCAGTGGCTGGTGTCAACCTAAGCAGCCAAGTGCCACTAGGCTCACATAACTATATGTGAACCATAGGATTGCTGTTGTACAAGACAAATGTAAAAGGCGATCTCTTTCTTTTATAATGAAGTGCAATACTTTACTTCGCTATACAGTCGAGCCCTTTTATAACAGACACTGATATAAGAGACAGATGGTTATAAGAGACACCAGTGTGCTGACATTAAAATACAGGTTGATAAAAAAATGCATGCGAGGTACCCTGCTTATAAGAGACATCTCATATAAGAGACAAGAATTGCTGCTTAGAGCATGCCTTTTATAAAGGGGTTTCTCTGCATTTTCTATGAAGAAATAAGAGCCTTCTCTAGGACAGATTATGCAGCCGACTGGAAGCATTGTATAGATAAGAGCTTCAACTCTGTGAAAATGTTATGCTAGACAAGCCACAGTGGTCCCATGATGCGTATTGCATTTATTTGATGACCTATTCAGTGAAGGCAACGGGAGCAGTTGGCGCTTAACGTTTGTGATCGAGGAAACTTAGCATGGCACAAGCCCATCGAAAAGGGTCAATTGCCAGCAGCTACATGCAAATCTAATGCAACTATGTTCGTCAACAGAGCAAGATTGCCACATGCCATGCACGCATGTTTGTAGGCGACATCTGAAACAAGGACGCTGTGCAAGAAAACTCCAGGGAATATTGGATGCCATCGGGACACTCATTTTTTCGCCTCATGCTGGTTTGATGCTGCAAAATGCAACACACCCAACATGAGCCACACTCTCCCATCAATGTCCTGTGATCACAGCCACGCACACAAGCGATCCCCATAAAAAACAGAATGTGAATTCTGCACAACAAATTGGCTTTCCAACCTTCTCAAAATGTTGGCTCCAGAGACATCCCGGTTTCCAAGCATTTTTCACTTATTCAAGATTACATACTGACCTGACTTCCTCCTTTCTTCGATTTCACATTTGTTAGATAGTTTCACAATTTCAAGCTTCACAAGAGCCATCAGTTTATATTACAGTAGACAACATTTAAATGAAACCTGAAAAAAAAAAAAAAAACAGGAAAATGTGTTCCCTTTAAGAGGAGTTTCAATTATTGAGAGATAAACAGGGGTATAACATTGTTACGAGTAACTTATTTATTAAATTATATATGATGGACCGTGCTCGGTGAAGAAGATGGCGACAGTTCATCAACACCAGCAAGCGATGTCATCTTTCTCTTCTATGCAGCAAGGCTTTGCAGGCTGTTGTGTATCATAACCCCCAAGCAATAGAAGCACCGTCTCTGTGCTTGAGCTACACGGATGTGGCAGGAGGAGGGTGATAAGGCTTGAGTCAAGCTATGTGCATGATGTCGCTCAAAGCTGACGATGATGACGTTGGATCGGCTGGAACGATCTCGGATGTAACGTCAGTCACCTGGCGAGTGACGCGGTATGGTCCAGTGTAGCGTGACAGCAGTTTTTTGGAAAGACCTACACGCCGAGTGGGAGACCAGAGAAGGACAATGGAACCCGGTGAAAGTGCACGTTTCGATGAGAATCGTAGAGCTGTCTTTGGTGCTCCAGTGAGGCCTGCACATGGCTGCGGGCGAGTTGGTGTGCGTGGTCGGCTCGCGCGATGGCTTTGTCAGCATATTCAGTGACCGAGGGCAGCAAGGTGTCAAAGGGTATGATAGGTTCTCGGCCGTATAGAAAATAGTATGGCGAATGGCCGGCAGTGTCATGATGCGACAATTATATGCGAACGTCACAAATGACAAATGGACAACCCAGTCCTGGTGATCTGCCACTACGTATTTAGAAAGCATGCCAATTATGGTCTGGTTGAGGCGCTCCGTAAGGCCGTTCGTTTGCGGATGTACAAAGTGGCAAACTTGAGCTTGGCAGAGCAAGAACGCAGGATTTTGTCAACGACAGCTGATAAGAAGGTCCGGCCCTGGTCAGTAAGAAGTTGGCGTGGAGCTCCGTGTACTAAAATAATATCATATACCAGAAAGTCCGCCACATTGGTTACACAACTTGTCGGAAGTGCTCGTGTGATAGCGTACCGTGTTGCATAGTCAGTGGCGGCAGCAATCCATTTGTTGCCTGAGGTGGAGATAAGGAATCGGCCAAGCAGGTCGAGGCCCACCCGAAAAAAAGAATAAGTGGGAATCTCGATCGGCTGAAGGAATCTAGCTGATAGGGAGGATGGCTTTTTGTGGCGCTGGCAGGGCTCACAAGCGACGACGTAGCGTTGAACAAAACGGGCAAGAGCAGGCCAAAAGAAACGACGACGTACACGGTCGTATGTGTGAGAGATGCCCAAGTGGCCCGTCAAAGGAGTGCCATGAAGTTGGTTGAGGACAGTCGCACGAAGATGTGCTGGTATAACGGGGAGTAAGTCATGGCCATATGGATCGAGGTTATAGCGATACAGGATCCCGTTTTTGACCAGGAACATTTGTAGAGATGCGTCGCGAGGCATTGACTCAAACTTGTCAAGGATGGTTCACAGGGAAGCATCCCAGCGTTGTTCGTGGCCAAGGTTGAGTAGCTGCGTCACAGACAGAAGGCCTGGAAAGGTGTCAGTATGAGCAGCATCTTCTACAAGGTAGTGTGATAAACGATCTGCATCCTTATGCAACTGCTCTGTTTTGTACGTTACAGTGAACGTGTATTCTTGTTAACGTAGGGACCAACGAGCGAGGCATCCTGTGGGATCTTCGAGTGAGGCCAGCCAGCAGAGCGCGTGGTGATCGGTGACTACTCGGAATGGACGCCCATATAAGTATGGGCGAAACTTGGCGACTGCCCACACAAGAGCGAGACACTCACGCTCTGTGATTGAAGAGTTGCGCTCGGCGGTAGATAGCAGTCGGCTAGCATATGCTATAACACGGTCATGTCCGCGTTGGTGTTGCAATAGAATTGCTCCTATGCCGTGTCCACTAGCGTCAGTGCGAACCTCGATTGAGGCTGATGGATCGAAATGAGCTAAAATCGGCGGTGCTGTAGGGAGGGTCATGAGCTGGGAAAAAGATAAGGCTTGATCAGCACCCCAGCAAAACGGGGTGCCCTTCTTCAGGAGGTTTGTGAGTGGGCGTGCAATGATCGCGAAGCCCTTAACACAGCGTCGAAAATAGGAGCACAAGCCCATAAAACTGCGAATGTGCTTTGTTGACTTCGGAACAGGAAAGTCCGTGACAGCGCGAATTTTCTCGGGATCTGGGCGGACGAGCGAAGCGACATTTTGAAGAGTTCAATTGAAGTCCGGCTCGACGAAAAACTTCAAGAATCGCCAATAAACGATCGAGATGGGAATCGAATGTGGGCAAGAAAACGATAACGTCATCTAAATAGCATAAGCAGGTTGACCATTTAAACCCTTGGAGCAATGAGTCCATCATTGTTTCAAATGTGGCCGGCTGTGATGGTTAAGGAACGTTCGTCACTATGTTTGTTGATAGCGGACGAGAAAGAATTAACATGAACTTTTTATTTCATGGCATGGGTGGAACGGCTGACGACGCACGGATACGCTACCGTGTGCAGCGCCGTTGAGTCGGACGTCGCGGCCAACCCAGCAGTCAGGGTCGCAACTCCGGAGGTGCAGGGTCAGGCCACGGCTCACGAGGACCACACCCGGTAGGCCTCGCCCACGAACCTGCTCCCGGCCACTGCACCCAGGCAGGAGCCGTTCGGCAGGTCTCGGCCTTGGACCTTGAACAGACACACCGGAGCTCGACCTGGCCGACACGTACGGGTCTCACGTCCCGGCTCACGAACGCTGCCAGGAACTCGTCCTCTTGAGCGGCGCACCGCTTCCTCTGCCTTCGTGGCCTCAACCCTCGAGCTCTCTTTTCCACACGTTCCTTCTTCTTGGCCAGGGCACCGCCAGGTACCCTTGGGTGCACACTGCAGCTTATGAGCTCGTGGCCCACGTCCGAGTCTGGCTCACCACTCGGCACCGCTCGGGGATCCTAGATTCAGCCAGCAACTTCCCTAGCACCTGGATCCTCGGCCACCCTGAATCCTCACCCGGCTCCGTGCTCCTCTGTGCGCACTCCCGCGTCTCGCCCGGCAGAACATCTCGCTCGTCCCTTGCCGAAGTGCGACGCTCTGGTGACACCGGCGCTTGATGGCATGGGTGCGACTACTGAGCAGTCAACCCGCATCGGAGACGCGATGCTCCATGCGGGGAATGGCCAGCCCGTCCAGCGAAGAGCGTGCGCCGAGACGCGATGCTCGACGCAACCGTGACCATTAGCCAGGCCACGTTCATCGCTGTGTCGAACGGCTGACCGCGGAGACGCCTCGCCGAGATCCGCGATGCCCTCGGCAAGGAAGAGAACAGCAGACCAGGCCGCGCCCCGAGATGCAGTACTCGTGCCGGCAATGCCGCCCCACCTGGTGGTTGGACGGCAGCAGCGTGGACGGCCGCGTTCCCTGGCCGGAACCTGGATCCCCTGCGTCCGACGCTTCGGCCCGCTGTCTCCCGTCTGCCGCTGCTTCGGCTCGTCCCCAGCCACAAAGCCTACTGCCACGTGATGGTCGCCCGTGGCCCAATCGTGGCATGCCACCTCTATGGGCCACCACAGGTCATCAGCTGATTCGCTGACACTCACGCGCACATTACACGCGCCTTGCCCCGCACTTCCGTCGTTGTCGTTTTCTTCACTCATCACACCGGCGCATTACAGAGACCGAAGGGCATAACTTTGAAGTAATAAGGACCGTCAGGAGTGACGAATGCGGTCTTCTCATGGTCCATCTCGTCTACAGCGATCTGCCAATAGCCATATCGAAGGTCAATAGTAGGCAAATACGCAGCCCAGTAAAGGCAATCTAAGGCATCGTGAATTCTAGGCAACG